CCATCGACGGACCGTATTCCAGGAAGGTCATTAAACATTGACGGGGGGTTACGTCCCCTAGAAGGGGAGACCATTCTTTTTTTTATATGGTCGAATCGCCCTTTTTCCCCGGCCTGGCCACCGGTGATGAATGCAAGATTTTAGTCGGGGGGCTCGACATCGAGTCGAAGACGAGCGCGACGTAAGGGGGTGGGGGTTCCGAATCCCCTTCGTTCCCCTCCCCCCCCCCCCCCCCTTACCCTAGGTATTCCTTTGAAAATATGGGGAGCTGCATAAAGGGTTGGTTGCCCGTATCCCCTTTAGATGGCTCGTGGTAAATCGCTACTATTATCTAACTCGGTTCCCACCTTCAACACAATAGGAATTTCCGTTGAAGCCTGAAAAGGCCAATGAGGGAACCGAGCCTGCTCGGAGCAAGAGATTTCCCATTCCTTTCGGGCATTCACCAGCGCATCTTCGCAATTTCAACCCGGCCATTCTTGTTTCTTGCGTCTCGAAGGCCTTACCGTGTAACGATTCTGCTTCTTCGCGGCTGGGACTGAGGAATGGGGTCGGATTCCTTGAGGCACAAGACGCACGACGGATCTTGGAGCCGTGTTAGCATGTTAGAGCGCTCTCGTTTCTGATCCTGGAGGCAGCTAGTTTTAATTTGGTTCAACAGATGTCGAGTGTGTCGACGAGCGAGTCCCGTTTTGCGAGACCGCGGTACCGCGGGAGCCGTGTGAGAGAGAGGAGGGCGACAGCGTCTCACTACGCATGCGCCAAGTCTGATCCCGCCACCCTCTCGCGCGCTGGCAGCCTCATATAGAGTGGAATGGGGAGGAGAGAAGTTGTAAGCCTTCGTGGTCAAGTGGTTAAGGCATCTGAACCACGACTGCTTACATTGTGCGGGGTAACGCAAGGCGAGGTTTGTCTCTTCTAGAAGCACGACTGCTTACATTTGTGCGGGGTACCGCAAGGCGAGGTTTGTCTCTTCTAGAAATCAGATTCCCTCTGGGAGCGTAGATTCGAGTCCTACCGACTGCGAATTTTTTTTTCTTTTGCTACATTCCAGGAATTCTAAGAAAATGTTGAATGAAATTTTGGCGTGAGAGGAGACGGAGTTGTAAATCAGGGAGAAAGAATACCCAAAACCTTCGCTTGTGCATCGCAGTTCTCTTTTTGCGGATAGATAGCACCAGCTGGCATTTTGCCTTGTGTGATAACAATTGTCAGATAAATTCGTTGTCATGGGATTGAAAATCATTCCCCCCCCCCTCCCCTCCCCCCCTCCCCCCGAGGGTGCTTCAACAGCTTTCAAGGAAAGCTTAAGGGATTAAATAAATAAACATATACTTTTCCACGTAAAATTTGAATTCAAATTCTCCCATAGCTGAAAAAAATAGCACATTCCACGGACATATTATTTGATACATACAACAATTGCATATTTGGCAATCTGTTTAGCCCAAACCGCATTTAAATTTATTTTTTAATGCGAAAGTCTTGCGAAATGCGATCGCTTCCCTTTGCAAAAATCCCGATGTCAAAAATAATAATTTGATTTTTAAAACGCCAATTCCAAACGTCCGTAGCGCAAAATATTTTTTTTCCATACCTAATTATTATGTTATAAGCAAGCTTGAACATTTTTCCGTTTAAGCCAATTATCTTTTCCCAAACCCCCCGTACTTTATTTAGGTTTCAAAGACTGAAAACAATTTAACCTCCTCTCATCCCTTCGAGCAAATGTCTGATGAAAATACAGAAGGAAAAAAAAAATAAAAGCATTTAGCAGTAAAATTCGCAGTCGGTAGGATTCGAACCTATGCTCCCAGAGAGAATCGGATTTCTAGTCAGACGCCTTAACCACTCGGCCACGACTGTATCAGCTCGTATCAGCTCGATGAAACGAGAAACAGATGATCTGGAAAACGTCTGTAGAGCGAATTACCGCTGTATGAAGCGGTCAAAATGTTTATCACATTTGATATTACATATTTAATAACATTTTAATTTTTTTTTTATTCAAGATGTTTTGTGGTATGTTCAGAAGAATAAGGAAAGTAAAAATAAAAAAGTACAAATCCTTAGTTGCCTCCGGTTAATTTCTTCTAACAGTTGTCAGAGTTCTGAAGAAAAAAATTTGAAGGCGCTGACCACTGCAGTTTTCCATGCTTTCGCTCCATATTCATTTTCATACAGACGGCTTGCCCAGAAGAACCGATTTGCGAGGCACTGAAACATTCTTTGCGTGAGCAGTCGTGGCCGAGTGGTTAAGGCGTCTGACTCGAAATCAGATTCCCTCTGGGAGCCTAGGTTCGAATCCTACCGACTGCGAGATGCAAGATTTTTTTATCTCTTGCTACTTCACACCAAAAATTTGTTTAATACCGTTTTTTTTGCGTAAGGTGTGAGAGGAGGCGGAGTTGGTAATCATATAGAATAACCCAAAACCCTCGCGTCGACCGAGGTCTTACAGGGTTTCCAAAAGTCCCTCTGTTCATGGTACAAACAAACGATTTAAAAAAATACTTTATTCATACTTTTTCTTTATGCGCTCTTGCCAGTCATAACAAATGCTGAAAACGATCCCACGCATCTTCAGACACCTATGAACACATTCGCTGAACAAAAGAACGTGGACCGATTTATCTACGGTTACTTCCGGTTACTTCTTAACGGTTACAAGGTTCTCGGGCACAAGGGACTTTGGCCTCTCCGTATCTTATCTTATCAGATCTTGGCTTGATGTCTCAACTCTGGAAGAATGGGCAAGCGATACTAGCGAAGGCCCATCTCTAACTCAGTCACTTTATCCCGATGAAAATCCTCTCTTAATAGTGGTTTGTCGCACCTCTGAGAAGCAATCCTCCTTCAACTCGGCATCATCGCCTTAAATATTTAATTAAATATTTAATTTCTTAATAATAAATAAATATCATAATAATTTTAATTTTTTTATTATTATTTTGGAAGCAATAAATGATCGCATTTAACATTTTTCTCATAGAATTCGAATTGAAACGGTAAGGATCCCATAGCTGGACAAGAAAAAACTCCATTGACATTATTTGATGCACAGAAATATTTCATAAAAGGCAATCGGCTTAGCCATAACCGTAGTTTAATTTCTCGACTGCAATATTTTGTGCAAAAAAGGACGATGCAAAAAAAATTGATATTTTAAACCCGAATTCCAAATGGCAAAAGTGTTAGAATAATATTCCCAAGATACATAACTTTTTTCATACCTAATTATATTAAAAGTAAGCATAAACTTTATATTTTTTCTGTGGTTTCATCTCGTTTGGCTATTTTTCCGGCTAAGCCAGATGGCTTATTCTCTCCATGTATTATTCGGCTTGTACCGGGTGCACCGCGACTTTTGGAACACCCTGCTCATTTTTCTTCATTTGGGTGACAGAGACTGAAAGCAGTTTAGCTGCTTCTCATGTGGAGTTGCATTTTTTTCGAATATGACTGGCAGACTACCAAGGGAAGAAGAATGAGAAATATATATTGTTATAAAAATATATGTAACGTTTCTGCTTCTTCGCGGCTGGGACTGAGGAATGGGGTCGGATTTCTTGAGGCACAAGACGCACGACGGATCTTGGAGCCGTGTTAGCACGTTAGAGCGCTCTCGTTTCTGATCCTGGAGGCAGCTAGTTTTAATTTGGTTCAACAGATGTCGAGTGCGTCGACGAGCGGGTCCCGTTTTGCGAGACCGCGGCACCGCGGGAGCCGTGTGAGAGAGAGGAGGGCGACTGTGTCTCACTACGCATGCGTTCAGTCTGATCCCGCCTCCCTCTCGCGCGCTGGCAGCCTCGTGTAGAGTGGAATGGGGAAGGGAGAAGCAGTAAGCAGTCGTGGCCGAGTGGTTAAGGCGTCTGACTAGAAATCAGATTCCCTCTGGGAGCGTAGGTTCGAATCCTACCGACTGCGTCGAACTTTTTCCTGCTAGTATTGCCCTTATTTTGCGTGCCGTTTGTCTCAGTGGAAGGTTCACCGTCTCTATGCGCTAAAAATGAAGGGGTTGGAAATAAATACCAACAGAAAGCCCGCGAGACTCTTGCTTGCGGCCCGTCGAAACAGATGAATGCAAGTATGGCTCATGGCTATTTTGTCAGCCAGACTGCGGTAGGTGAGTAAAAATAAAAAATGGCCCTCACAGTCTTTTGAGTTGTGCGCTCCTGATTTACGTTAACTTACAAGTGATGCCACGCTTGCTTGGCAGATGACTTAATTTTCTTATTATATGGAATTTCATGATGCAAGAGGCCATGCTGCCCTTTGCCCACTTCGTTCATTCTCCATGATATATTAATAACCCCGCAGCATTCCATTCATCCTCACAGAAAAAAGCAAAATTGAAGCGTAAAAGAGGCAAGTTGGGTATTAAGGTAAATGACCTGTAATCTCGAATATTATTTATATATTTGAAATGGACGCCGTCAGCTTTTTTTGCACGATGACTTTTTCCTCGCTTCAATTATCCCATGAGAGAAAAATCCCCCTCTTATCCCCAGACGTGCGTAATTTCAGGCAATTAATGGCCCATAAGACAAATGAATTGTACCTGGACCCTTCCCGTTATAATTTACGATTCCGTCCGAGATAATTGGAAATTGATTGAAAATCGCCGCTCGTGGCAGATTTGATCGGAGGAAATAAAAAATGGGAAGCCGTTTTTCTTGCGTTCTTTCGAAGTCGACCAATGGCAGCTCGCCGCTTATCGATTATCGATATATCGATTATCGAATTATCGATTTTCGCCGTCATATATCCGGCGTTGACAGGTGAGAAAAGTACTCAGAAAAAGGTGTTCGCGCAGTACTGGGTGCAGTACTTCACCTCCCCGTATTTACAGAGAAATGTTTACCGTGGCGCACCCGGACTCGCGAGGTCTCGCCAACCTTATGTAAACAGGATTTAAAAGTGGCATTCTCCTTCATTGTTCCATGGAAGAACTCGATAACAAAAAAAAAAACCCACGATATTCGCCTTATAAAGTGTCAGTTTCGACCCTTCCGATCGCGTTCATATCCGTTCAATTTTCGCTGGAATCCTCATTATTGTTCCTCGTTTCCATTCCGAGACGGGTTCAACTTTTCTTCGTTGAAAAAAGTTGAAAAAGTCGTGAGTTGCTTTCGTTTGACCCTTGACCCCGTTTGACCCGGCATGCTAGTCTTCTTCGGTCTTTCCGTCCGACGATATTTCGTTGCAAAGCTTTCATTCGACTGAGTGAAATTCAAGCAGTTTATTAAAGGGTTACGCCTTAGCGTTCGTCTCGCCCAACCTCCAAAGCGAAGCGAAACGAAACCGCCCAGTCGCACCGTTGTAACGATGGGAAACGCGAATTGTGTCTCAGACGAGAAGAGAGAGGAGGTCAGGGAGGGCAGGCCCCTGGTCTTCGAGGAGGGCAGGGAGGGCAGGCCCCTGGTCTACGAGGAGGGCAGGGAGGGCAGACCCCTGGTCTTCGAGGAGGGCAGGGAGGGCAGGCCCCTGGTCTACACGGTGGAGCTGGTGAAGGAGGAGGGAGGGCTTGGCATCACCATCTCGGGGACTGAGAACGCTGGGGACCCCATCTTCATCTCCTCCCTCACACCCGGTATGTCCTGACACTAGGTATGCCCGCAAAATCGGTATGGTCTCTCACCATCTTCTGCCTTTGGGCGTGAAGGTGGGAGGAAATTACATGATGTTTCTGGTGGTCCGTTTCTACCTTATGTTAGAGACTTGAAGAAACTGTGGAAAACCTCTATTTTCTTCTCGTGTCAACGTGTGACCTTTAATGCCGCTTATCGAGTGGCAAAAAAAAAGCCCTTCCCACATCATTTCCTCTACACCTAAAATACTTTTGCAAACGACACGGATACGATTCAAGACACTCACGCTGCGCTTTCCGTGAAAGGTGGCCTGGCGGACCGCACAGGCGCTCTCCACGCGGGAGACCGGGTGCTGGGGATCGACGGCGCATCCCTGAGGGACGGGACCCTCTCGGACGCCATCCGGCACCTCCACCAGCCGGGGGACCGGGTCACCCTCCGCCTCTCCAAGGAATCCCCCCGGAGGAATCGCGGCAGCCCGCCGGGGGGATTCTCCCCGGGTCTCCCGTCCATCGACAGCGCCTTCGAGTCCTGGGACTCCGCGCCTCTCCCCGACTCGCAAACCGGCACGATTCGGCAAAAAAAATCGGCAAATCCCACTATTTGCGAACTTTTAATTAATCGCACTTTTTTTCCTTTTCAGGTGAAGAGAGTGGGACCTGGGAGATCGGAAGTGCCAGCGGGAACACGTCTCCTTCCGGTGAGCTCCATTCAAATCGATACATAAAATAGTTTCATTCGTAGGAATTTATTTATATCATATAATTATTATTATTAAGAAATTAAATATTTAATTAAATATTTAAGGCGATGATGCCGAGTTGAAGGAGGTCCTGGATGACCTGAGACAGGCATCCGATTTCCTCGTCAAACCTCGTCTGTCCAGCCCGCCTCAAACCGATCGTAAGTACTCATCTGCATTTTATTATTTTCAAATTTGAGTCCAAGTTTCAAATTTCTAAAAGGGCGATAAAATCTCAGGCACGAACGAAGAAAGTGGGGTGAGGACCTGGAACCGCGAAGTCCCTCCTCTCCTGCTTCCTCCTTCTCCTTTCCTCATGTATGAACTCTTCCGATCCTCTTCAAAATAATAATAATAATAATAATAACTTAATATAAAAATAACAAAATGATCAAATATGTTTAATTTTGAGGAATAAAATAAATTGAACTATAGGAGAGGCGGAGGGAGCCTGCCCCGCCGCAAGGCCGACCAGGTCATCCTCGGCGACCTGACCCAACAGCAGCAACAGCAGCCGATCCCCATCGAGATCCACCACGTGACCTTGTTCAAGGACCCGATCTACGAGGACTTCGGCTTCAGCGTCTCGGATGGCCTCTACCAGCGGGGGGTGTACGTGAATCGCATCCGGAAGGCGGGACCCGCTTCGGTGTCGCACGCCCTGCGCCCGTTCGACCGGATTCTCCAGGTTTAGGCTCATCATCCTTTTTATTAGGCTTCTGGTTCATCCTCCTTTTTATTCGGCTTCTGGTTCATCCTCCTTTTATTTGGCTTCTGGTTCATCGTCCTTCTCATTCGGCTTTTATATGTTCTCAGGCGGATGATTCTCGCTTTATTCTTGATCGTTATTGTTCCTATTAATTTTCTTCTTATCCAACCTCATTTCACTTCATCATCGTCGTCTTACGCAATGAGGAGGCCGGCGTCGCGCTCCGACGAGTTTAACGATCGGCCTCGATTACCGGGCCGAAGTTAATCTCATCCGTTGATGGATCGATTATCCAGTCTGACGGGAAAATGTCGGGTCTTCACGCGTTGCCGGCTGAGTCGACCCATCCGGGAGGAGGTCGTTGGAAACTAGTTGCCCAAAAGTGCAACCGAAACGGTTGCATTTTTCGTTTTTTCGTGCATTTTTCGTTTTTTCGTGCATTTTTCGTTTTTTCGTGCATTTTTCGTTTAAAATAAAAGTAAAATTTAATATTGAAATTAACTTCATTAATTTAATATCATGACATAAATTAACCGATCCAGATGAAAAATTCCCTCGGAAACCCTCAGGTGAACGGCACCGACACCCGCGACCTGGACTGCTGCCTCACGGTCCCGCTGATGGGCGCGGCCGAGGACCGGCTGGACCTCCTCGTCGCCCGGCATCCCCACCCCGCCCCGCTGCCTCTCCACCCCGCCCTCCCGCTGCCTCTCCACCCCGCAGCTGCCACCCAGCCGCTGCCTCTCCACGGGACGGGGACCAGCGTCTTCTACACTCCGCTCTCGTCCATCAACTCGCCGCCTTTCAACCACTTGGTTCGTGCCTCGTTTTGTCAATTTTCACTCGATGCCGAGCATCAATAATCAATCAATCTCGAAAATTGTAATTGATAAATCGTGGGACATTTAATCGATTGACCGAATATTAATGGAGCTCCTATCATCCCTGATTGCGACGAATGAACGTGACGCTTCGAATTCGTTCTGGACGGTCGTTGCCACGATCCCAATACGTGAAAGGAATCGGGTCTGAATAGGAAAAAAAAATCTTCGGCATTGGACGTGACGAGGATGGGAAGAAAGTCAATGCTGTCTGCATTCCTTCGGTGTCCCAGCAGCCTCTAGGGTAAAAAAAAAAAAAAAAAAAATTTTGCGTTGTGGAAGGAGGGATTCTTTTTTTCTTGGTGTTTCTCGATGAGAATTCTCTCAAGCCTGCGACTGGATCTTCAACTAATTTTCTCCTTCGTTGCTTGCGATTGCCTGGCACGCCCCTAATCGCATCGTTCCATCAGTAGAGACGGATTTCGATTAGGGTGATCCTGGATTTAATTCCACCTCTAATCCGAACTGGGGATTGGTTAATACAAGCCTCGAAGTAATCCCGGGAGGTTTTAGTGATGAAAATTAAGGTATTTAAAAAATAATATAATGAATCTTTCCGAGGGAGTTAAGAAATTGTTCTGTCGGAAGGTCCTGATGAATGTGACGAATTGCGTGAAATGAAATCGTTTTGACGGGGTGTCGCCACTGGTTTTGGCTTATTTATATTATTATTATATTACATTATATTAATTAGGAATTTTTTTTCGGCGGCGGATCATGACTTGGGTTGGGCTGAGGGGGGCCGTAAATATAGATGGCCCAGGGGCGAATGAAAGCGGAGGGAAACGGACGAGGGAAGGTTGGTCGATGGGCCGGGGGGGGGGGGGGAAATTGGTGAAAGAGGAGAGGGAGAAGTATGGGAGAATCGCAGGACTGCTGAAACTTTTCTTTGGTTGAGGATTCTTTGTGTCCATGGTCTCCTTTCAGGGAAAAGGAGCTCTTTGGCTGAAAGGCCCCTAAAATATCTCACCTAATTGAGGTTTCTGCATTCGAGCCTTAGCCCCTTGAGAGCTTTCCCCGTCCCCCTTTCCCTCCCTCTCCCTCTCCCTCTCCCTCTCCTGTTTCCCCCCTCCCCATTCCCTCAATAAGCTTTGTCCGGAGTTATTTTCCTCGTCCGTGGTCTTTGAAACAGTCAGACTTCCAAAATGTATTTCTGGCTACGCCCCTGCGCAAGGAAAGAATTGGTGCCGGGGGAGGAGGGAGGGAGGAAGAAAGGAAGAGAGGAAGAGGAGAGAGAGGGAGGGAGGGAGGGAGGAGGGAGGGGCGCAAACATGATGCCGCGCCCAGAGGCGCCAGACAGGGTAATTACGTTTCTGGTTCTACTATTTCACCTGTACGCATTTACGTCCCAGGATGCTCATTCCCATCTACCTCTCGGAACGGAAAAAAAAATTTAAGAGGGGCGTATGAAATTTACTTCTGCCGAAATCTCCCCTACGGGATTTCGCAATGCTCTATTTTAGCACTCGCCAAAAGACCATCGCACGAAAGACGCTCACGGTCGCACGGAATTTGCAGAATTTGCAGGAATGCAGCGCCCAGGTGCACGGCTGGGCCAAGGTGGACGAGGAGGAGCTGGAGGCGGGCGGCGACCTCCAGGGCCCGACCCTCACGCACACCCTGTGACCTCGCTTCCTCGATTCCGGGTCGGAGGTCGAAGGTCGATTCCGTGTCTCACGCCGTACCTGTACAGAGACGAAATCGTATTCTCGCTTTGGTCTGATTTTGGGAGAATAAAACGAAAATTTCCTCCTCTTCGTCTTCTTCTGATGATTACGTAATCCGGCAATGCAACGGCCAAGGTCAAGGTCGCAATGGACATTCTGAAGGGCATTCTCACTCGAGCAGAACGTGACCTTTCGAGTGGATCCATTCGGGATTCACTTCTCGTCGTCGAAAGAATCGACTTGCCCCTCCCTCAGGGTTGCCCGATTGCGTTTCTCCAAGGAAGTTTAGTTTGGGATCACGTCACCAGCATGGTGACTGATGGTGACTAATGGTGACTGATGATGACTGATGGTGACTGATGGTGACATGGGGCGTTATTGAAAGTATGGTCAACGATCGGGAAAATTATATTCAGCAACTGAATGGCCCCGAGGAAATGGAAAAATCACGATTGTGTCTCCAGCGAGCAATCTCAAGCGAGGAATTTCAAGCGAGAATCTCAAGCGAGAATTCAAGCGAGCAATCTCAAGCGAGGAATCTCAAGCGAGCAATCTCAAGCGAGGAACGCTCTGAGAACTGGTTTGTCCCCTCGAATGAGGATTTCTCGCGATTTTCTCTCTGAAGTGCGAAAAAGGGATCGAAGCGAACTGGGGAAAAGGCTTTTTTTTTCTGTTTTCGCAGCTGTGAGTTTGCGATTTCCTTCCAATTCTGCTTGCAAAATTCCGTTCGAATTCCGTTCCGTTCGACAAGCTTTGCCGGGGCTCGGCGGCTCCATTGTATTCCATGGGAATAACCGAATCAGGTGAGTGAAGTTGATCATGCCGAGTGGGTTAAACTTATTATTATTATTATTATAAATAATATGTATGATATTGCATGGCGAACACTGCGATAATCGGGCATAATGCCAATAAACATCGATGTTACGTAATACCCGCACGGTGTCATTGAGTCCGAGCGCGAGCGCGCGGCAGAACCGGTTCCTGCGTCTCCGGAGTTTCGTCTGCTTCTACGATGCCGACGCGAACGCCATCTTCACGAATCCGCCCGAATGAAGATTCCCTGCCTTCGCTTGTGTCAGTGCTGCCATGGTCTTCGTGCCAACCCCGACCGTGATGTTTCCCGTAAAAGGCCCATGATTGCGATTCTTCTCGAGAATTTCGCCCTCCCAACGACGCCGTGTCGACAAAAAATATTTCCGTCGACTCTTTCGCTCAAAATAAACGAGAGAAGCGAAAAAAAGCAGGAAACGAAACGAAGAACATCTGGCAACCGTGTCACCTCGCTCCCCTCGACCCCTCGAGCCTTGCAGACCCCTTCCCCCGTCCCTTGCGTCTCCCACGCCTCGCTCTCATCCCCGTGCGACCATGAAAATCCGACCGTGCCGCGTCCTGACGTTCGCCGTCGTCCTCACGTTCGCCGTCGCCCCCGCGGAACCGGCGGAGATCCTCATCGCCGTCACCTTCGGCACCAAGAGTCACCACCAACTGTTCCTAGCCTACGCCAAAGCCCTCGGGGTCGAGGGCCACCGCGTCACTCTCTACTCCCCGCACAAACACGCGGAAAAACCCTTCGTCGGCGTGGAAGAAATCTCCCGCGAGGAAATGTGGGGCTTCATCGACCAAAGGATGCCGAACGCCTTCAACGTGACCGGGGAGAAGAGCAGATACACGCAACTCGTCTTTCAGGTGAAACGAATTCATTTATTCCGGATCGAAATCTTCGCGGCGCCGATCTCGACATTTCCCCCCCTTTTTAAAATGCATTTCACGCGGCGAATCCGTTTCATCTCTGACGATACCGAAAAAAGATCATTTCATTCAACGGTAAGACAATGCGGAGCCGAACGCTCGCGGTTCCTCTCTGCAAGGCGAAACTGACGCGAACGGCGAAGCGTGACGTCACAAGTCGACCGACTCGAATCGCGAACGCATCATCAGCGTAATTATGCTTTCAAGTTAATTTATGATTTTTTAAAATGACTTTTCTTAAAACTTTAAGGTGAAAATTGTCGAGAAAGCCTCAATTTCGGGTGACCCAGCTGTCAAAATCTCGACTTCCGCATTTTGAAAATTTTCAGACCTTATTTGCTTCTCCCCCTCGACAAATATTTTCTCCATTTTATTATATCATATTTTATTACTATGGTGAATTATCAGGTGTCGCTGGACCACTGCCGCGCAGTGCTGGAGGACCCGCCGTTCCTCGCCCTGCTCAAGTCGCGGCGCCGCTTCGACCTCGTGGTCGGGAACGGGCTCTTCGGCGACTGCGTCCTCGGCCTGGTGGACGCCCTCCGCGGCGTCCCGTTCGTCCTGCTCAATCCGCCGGGCGCGCTGCCCTGGACGAGCGAGGCGACGGGGGCGCCGCATGCGGCCGCCTTCGTCCCGAATCTTCACACGGCGTTCGCGCCGGATATGAGCTTCTTTCAGAGGGTCAAGAATCTTTTCGCCACGCAGATGCTCAAGTACAAGAGGAGGTTCGTCGAATTTTCATTTTTTAATGCATGTTAAATTCCCTGAAATAATGCGTAACCATGGTAACGAGAAATCCCAGCTCGATTGATTTCATCCTCTGGAAACCCCGCCGCACGAAACCCGCCTCGAAAGCGCAAGAAAAAAAGATTGGAGGAACTTGTGTGCTCCAGGGTGAACCTCCTGCTCCCGACGGAGGCCCTCTGGCACCGCAAGTACCAGGGCCTGCGACGGTTCTCGGAGGTGGAGAGGGAGGTGAGCCTGGTCCTCCTCAACTCCCACGTGAGCCACGGGGCGCCGCGGCCGCTCCTGCCGGACCAGGTGGAGGTCGGCGGCCTGCATTGCACTCCGGCCAGGGCCCTCCCGAAGGTGAGTCTAAAAAAGTTTTCCCGGTTGGAATCAGATGAGAGTTTCATAGAAAAGTTAATGCTTCAGTTCGAACGCTATTTTGTATATGTTATTATATATTATTTATTTATCAAAGTAATTTCTAGGCTTTCGCGAGGGTGAAGATTGCGACCGATTCAGCGGTCCAACGCTTTGCTCAGAATGTTACTATAAGTCGTTCCCATAGTTGCCCTGATGCCCTTTTTGACGAAGCGCCCCCATAATCCGGTTCCGCCGTGACTGTTTCTGAGTGCGAAGGACTTCATTTTTTTTTCCGGTCCAGTTTCAAATGGGCCACAGCATACCAAGAAAATTTACTTGATCGATATGTTCATATTGATCGAATCACTCGGTTATATGATCATAACTCACAGCTGTTATATGGAACGGTGATATGGAACTTGATATTCTTTTCCCTTGTCCTACCACTGCCATGAAGTGGGGGGGGGGAACTGTTGGCCCGCCATGTGAAGCAAAAATATTATAAATATAAACATTTATAATAAAAAATATTTATATAAATACTTATATTTTATATTTATCAATATAAACAAATTATAATGAGTCATTAATTAGTTTTCTCTCCAGAGAGTGTAGCCCCTAAGAACCCAATTGTCGCTCGTATGAAAATTCCCGCACCTTTCTTCATTCGCTCCCTTTTGAAACGGCTACAGTGCTATTAAGGAAACTAAAGTCGAACGCAACGCACTTCATAGGACACTTCCATAGGGTCAGTACTTGAGTACCGGTGCCATTCACAATGTTATTAGGTACGTTGACACGAAAGTACAAAACAACGATCAAGTTAAGAACTCTCCTTAACGAAACATATTTTATGGAATGTCAAGGGCATTATGTAATCACGGCCCATCGTGTCAGAGAGCTTTTCAACGAGTTAAATAAACACAGGGAGAGAAGCCACTACATACGTTGCAGACATAAGAGGGCAATAGAGCGCGACGAAGAGGACCTGGAGTCGGAAGTCTCGCTTCAGAGCAGCAGTGTGACTTCGAAATCCGTCAGCTCCTCTTGCAAAGAGCGGAATGATGGTCAAGTCCGCCCTTTGCTTCGTGGTTTTGTCGCTGTTTGGTGTCGGTGCGAACGGGGCGGAAATCCTCATCATCCATCCACTGGCCAGCAGAAGTCATCTGAACGTGCTTCAACCTCTTGCGAAGGCCCTGGGTGCCAGGGGTCACAATGTGACCTTGGTTTCGGCGTACGGCCTCAAAGAGTCAAAGGGTGTGAGGACCCTCAAGGTCCCCGGATTCGAGGAGGATATGAAAGAGGCCGGCAAGGGAATGTGGGTGCAGGAAGGGCAGACGTCTGTCGTCGGGGTCGCGTTCATGCATTGGGTCATTCACGCGGCTGCCCTGAAAGCGTGTAATATCACCTTGACCTGGGGTCCTCTTAAGCCCTACCTGGAGGCTAAGATGAAGCTGGACCTCGTCGTCACGTCCCTCTTTTTCGAGGACTGTCTCCTCGCCATCCCGTACCTCAACAGAGTCCCGTTTGTGTACTTCAGTCCTGCAGGGCTGTTCTCGCACAACGCTTTCGCTCAAGGGCATTTCGATAACCCATCTTTCGTCCCCGGCATCATGACCACATACACCCACAGAATGAGCTTCTGGCAGAGAATTTTCAACACCCTGATGTATTACTCGACCATGGCCTACGTCCGGTATTTCATCATCCCCGACGAGCAAAAATTGGTGAAGGAACTCATCGGCGAGGGAATTCCGCCACTAGAAGAGCTCGCCTCCAACGCCAGCCTGTATCTGCTCAATTCGGACGTCAGCGCGGACTGCCCCAGGATGCCAGTCTCGATCTCGGTTGGCGGGATGCACGTCGTTCCGTCCAAGCCGCTGAGCCGGGTGAGTTGGGCTTCGTTCATCTGACCTAAATGAAAGGCACGTATTTGTTTTCTGGCGATGAGGGCCTGCGTGTTTATCAAAGCGCATATCTTCTTCGTTGCAACCAATGACTTATTTACAAACACTATCAAATTTTATATGCATTTGGTGTTGAAGCGTGAACGGCTCCTAAATCGCAATTACTCCATTCGCCCTCTGACGTCATCCGAGCGCTATTCTACCCTTATTCACGCTAAGGTCGCAATGCAACCTTGGTATCGGTCGTCGACTTCATTCCAGGGCGTCAAGGATAAAAATCCCCATGTTGAGGATGTGACGTGAGAAAAGGGAAAGACGATATTGGAAGATCCAGGGGAAGCTTGCTCTGGGCTCAAATTTCCGTCCGTGTAGTGTTTTCTTGACCTTGTAGGCCTCAAGACCGTTAAGACCTCACATTGAAGAAAGGTCAAAGTAGATCTGATAAAGCCCGAGTTCCTTGAAGAATACCTTTTCGATATTCCATATCGAATCGTCACATTTGCCTATTTTGCACCTTTAGCCTTTTATTTTCTCCACGACGTCCACCTTCGAGGGCATTTTCAGTCTTCGTCTTGTGTTTCGGCTTTTTTCACCTCATCCAGTCGTTCCTCGAGACCCGTCATGCTTTACGCCATATTCACCCATCCCTTTGAACTCCAAAGGCAATGCTAGTGCAATTATGATTTCGTCCCTAAATATAACATTGCGTACTGAACTTATGAATGTTGGGGGAATGAATGTCGTCGCTAAAACTTTTGCTATCCTTTTCCGCGATATTTAAGGCCAAACTGAAAGCGAATGTTTCAAGGTAGGATGATTAACTGTGATGAGTGACAGTTTGTCGAGAAGAGAGCAGAAGGTAATCGAAAATGGAAAAGGTATTGCTTGAAGTCGGGGTCGTCTGCGGAGTTCCCATGTCTCTGTCTTGAGGCCGCTTCCATTTCTTGTTTACTCTGTTTACGTTGTTTTAACGATATTGGTTGAGGGCTTTTCGGTGAGATCTGTAAATTTTTGTGTTTTCCGACCGCACGAAAATAGGTTCTTCCTTTAGAACGGACGAGGACAGGTCGAGAGCCGAGAGAGACTAACAGGTCATGCACGAAAAATTAGATCCGAAATTCCATGAGAGCTAATCGATTAGAAACTAATATTATCCGTGCGCGTCCAGACGATAATGGCGCGATGTCGCAGAATTTTTAAGCGATGGAAGACGAGAGAGGTGTTTAGGCGAGTCGGGACTCAATACATTTTTTAACGACTTGTAACCTATGTTTAAGGTAATCAATAACGTGGAGCGAAGTACGTTTTTCATGGTGAAGAGGTATGGGAAGCCGGTTCATCGCCGGTTCATCGCCCTCGTTAGCATTCTACGTGACGGGTGCGATGCCGACGTTGCTTGCATGAAATACTAGGGGCGGTCAAAAAGTTCTGAGACCAAGGCACTTCCAGTTGCAATGCAACATTTTTACTTTTATCATGGGAAGACAGATGTCTTTGATGGTGACCGGCGAAATTTCATCTTATTTGTCGATTAAGGATAACTTCTATGAATTTTTTTTTAATATGCTACTAATGGTTCTGGTGAAGGGATGTTAAAATTGAGACGAATACTGTGAGGAATTTTCTAACCAGAACTATTAGTAGCATACTAAAAAAAATTCATTGAAGCTATCCTTAATCGACAAATAAGATGAAATTTCGCCAGTCACCATCAAAGACATCTGTCTTCCCATGATAAAAGTAAGTATGTTGCATTGCAACTGGAAGTGCCTTGGTCTCAGAACTTTTTGACCTCCCCTCGTATCTCGTTCCTTTTGATTCCGTTTTACCATTCTATGATAAAGAATGTTTTTGCGTAAGTGTTTCGCAAAATTGCGGCTGAGAACCCAATTCCTCTTTTTTAAAAATAATGAATGGTATAATGGATGCAAAAGTGGATGAAATAGGGAATGAAATATTTAATTATGGAGAACCGCCCTTCGTATCCTGTCGATTTCGAGAGTCGCGTGAGTGTTCCCAGTGAACCGAGAAATTACGTCGTCGAGAGGATGCGATCGTTGGCCTTTAATAGAGAGTGACCTTGAGTCGAAGGGTTCCTCCCTTCCTCGTGGCAGTGTGCTTTCATTCGTCAGTTCCCCTTGCGAGCGATAGAAAAATGGATAAGTCCGTCTTTTGCCTCGCGTTCTTGTTGTTGGGTGCGAATGTGGAAGGGGAAGAGATCCTGATCATCCATCTGTTGGCCTCCAGAAGCCACCTACACGTGATCCAGCCGCTCGCGAAGGCCCTGGGCGTCAGAGGCCACAACGTGACCCTGGTGTCCCCGTACGAACTGAAGCGGTCGCAGGGCGTGAGAATCCTCAGAATCCCCGGATTGGAGGAAGACATGAAGGAGTCCGGCAGGGGGATGTGGACGCAGGAAGGGCAAACCTCAGTTCTCGGTGCGGTGTTCGTGCATCAGATGATCCACGAGGCTGCACTACACGTGTGCAACGCGACCTTGACCTGGGAGCCTCTTAAGCCCTACCTGGAAGGAAAGGCAAAACTGGACCTGGTCGTCACGTCTACGTTCTTCGAGGACTGTTTCCTCACCATCCCTTACATTAACGGAGTCCCGTTCGTGTACTTCAGTCCTGCGGGACTGTTCCCGTACAGCGCGTACATTCAAGGGCATTTCGACAACCCATCCTTCGTCCCCGGCCTCTTGATGACGTATACTCACAGAATGAACTTCTGGCAGAGATTTATCAACGCGTTGATATATTTCTCGTCCATTGGCTACCTCCGGTTCGTCGTCATCCCCGATGAGCAGAAGTTAGTGAAGGAACTCTTCGGAGACGGGTTTCCGCCGTTGGAAGAGATCGCCTCTAACGCCAGTCTGTATTTGATCAATTCGGATATCAGTATGGATTTCCCCACACCCAGGATGCCGGTCACGATCGCCGCGGGCGGGATGCACATCGTTCCGTCCAAACCGCTGAGTCAGGTGAGTGTTTGTTCATCTGCCTTCAATTGAAGGCAGACAGGATGTAGGATCCATTGTTTTTCTTGGAGAACTTCTTCGTCTGACTATCTTCGCACATCACTGAGTATGTGCACCAGCACGATCAGGTCTTGCGTGTCTCTAGAGTTTTGGAAGTCTGCGCGTGAATTGGACCTAAAATCTCATTCATCCCTGAAGACGATGTTCGCGTCACTCGGGGTCTCATGTCCAAATGTGACCTTGGTCTTGGCCTCCTGCCTTCCTTCGGCCTTAGGCCCAGTAACATAAAAAATCAGAATTGTTATCTCATAAATAAAAATTAGATATCGGAGAACCAATTGACACGTCTCCTAGGCTACGGTAAAAAAGGCGAAGCTAGTCATGACGAATGGGAAACTTCACCCAAATTTATTCCCGTATCGAAGCGAAGTTCCTTTCGCCTATTTTATTCCTTCCGTCCCTTTTTCGCCCACCCCTCCATAATTTTTTAAGTTCAGATTTTTTATTTTTCTGGACTCTGCCTTTAATCCCAGCCCTGACGGCTTTTTCCAATCCGAATATTGAGTACAGGTATATCGAAAGCCAAAAAATCGTACTTCTTCCGCTTTTGCTGAAGTGGACCAGATATATAATTTGACTTTATGAAAAGTGAAAGTGTTTATGAAATTCCTTCAATGCAGGCAATTCGTCGCTGAAAACTGACCACCTTCATATTTTCCCTTTTGGCTGAAGTTTTTCCATTCACTTGACTTAATTCCCGAGAAGGAGTTTCAAATTTGCGGGAGAGATTCTGTGTTCAGAGAGTTTCGATCCTGCAAATTACGTAGCAAAGTTTCTAAGAGATTTTTGAAACTGGATGAGTCGTCTCGTTGCGACTAAAACTGAGGGAACTACGATCGATTTACGGTTGCAAAGGTCGGTCAGTGGCGTGGTCAGTGCCGCGGTCGGTCAGTGAGACGGTCGGTGGCATGCTTGACTCCCGTGACCCTGGTTCGAAACCGACCGAGTCATGAGGACTTTTACCTCATGATAGAATCCCGGTTTCGTAGAATGAGAAATAATCGCATGGGTGTGATGCAGGATGGGAATTAAACGTGCGGGAAAATGTTTTTGTTCATATTTTTTTCCTCCTGTGATTTCTCTTCTGGCAGAGACGACTTGGTGTCAACGTCAAAGAGGGGCTGAAGGGGGTAATCTGGTAGAAGAGGGTAATCTATCAGCAATTTTCTTCTTGGTTTCTTTGTTCCAACTTTTTAGCGTCACTTGGGATTTGATGGAGAATTCTGTTCTTGATCTTCCAAGAGAGCTTTTTTTTTTTTCTTTTCAAAGGAATGATACGCTTTGGAAATGAGAGCGGTATGGACTGGGATGGGAATCAACTCTGGTAGCGACGCATGATGGGAAAAGAAATCACTCGAGCGCTCCTCTTTGCGATGAGGGCGAAATTGAGTCTCTGAAGGATAAAGATCACTTTGATCTTAGATAAGGTTACAAGGAGGAGGGGGGGGGGGGGGGGGGGGGGGGGGGATGGGAACTAGCTGGGAAATCAGATTAACTGGGATTCCAGAACGAGGACTCATTCTTGGGCCTTCAGCCTTTTGGGTCTGATAATAAAAATAAATAATATACTATAAGTGGAGGGTGGACATTTTCTTGCTAGAAAGTGGCGAATTAGCACGAATAGGGTGGTGGTGCGTGCCTCACGGAGTGAAGGATGGGGAAGGTCTGTCACCGAAGGAGGCTTCCCTTGAGGAAAAGCCACCGAAATGGCTTGGGGGAAGAAACGTCTCGGAAGTTCCAGAGTGCTCGAATCCCCCGAGTGAAGGAGGATTCCTGTGACCATTGTGCATACTGATCTGTGGAGAGGTATTAGGAGTGTTTACAATTAATTATCCGTGAGGCAATTGTCATACCTGCGAAAAGGCACCATCCTACAGAAGGTGCAGAAGCGGTCTGAAGTGTGATATTTACTTTATAATCGCCTTGCAGACTGCGCCAAAAGTCTCTCGACTCAACCGAATTTGTC